GCAGCCGCAGCAGCAGGGTCAGCGACAGCAGCAGGCTCGCCAGCAGCAGCCACCCGTCCAGCCTTCTGGACGCCAGACTGGCCAGACTCCAGCCTCAGCTCAGGGAGGTTGGGGGCAGCGTCCCAGTGGCCCGGGTGACCGGCGCGGGCCCTGGAGTGGACAGGGGTGGCGTGGGGACCAGGGTGGACGTTGGGGGGGAGGAGGGCGTGACGGGGGGAGACAGGAGGGGGGTTGGCAGGGTTTTGGCCCGTGGGGGCAGCAGCCGTTCCAGCAGGGCTACTTCCACCCACAGCAGCAGCCCCTCGTACACCCCGCACAGGGAGGCCCTTTTTTCTGGCCTCAACCCCCTTTTCCTGGGGGGCACCACCTGCCCTTCTTGGGCCACCTAGCGCAGCAGCAGTTCCTTCAGCAGCCGTTTTACGGGACTCCGGCGTGGCAGCAGCCACAGCACCGCCCGGGCCCAGTGTTTCCACAGGACCATCTGCCGCAGCAGCCCCAGGGGCAGCAGCAGACGGGGCAGCAGCAGCAGCAGCAGACGGGCCAGTAGAGGCAGACACAGGGGACGGGGTTGGTAGCCGAGGGAGGCACAGACCACGTAGGAGGCTAGAGGAGTCGGACAGGGAGCGTCTGCTTCGACGGTTTGCCAGGCGCAGTGTGCAAGAGGTCGCGGACAAGCTAACTAACGTGGCTGTCCACAACCTCTCGCGCAGGCGTCTGACAGAGGATGAGCTTACAGGCCTTGCTCTTGGCCTTAAGTTCATCCCTACGCCCCCTCCTCTTGACCGAGGGCGGCTGAGTCAGGCTGTGGAGCAGTATCAGCGGCGGGTTAGGCTAGCGTGGCAGTTTCGGGACAGCCGCAGACCGGTGCCTAGGTTTCGGGTCCCACGACCTAGTTGGCAGCCGGACCCGGGGCCACCAGAGGTCGAGGAGTATCTTGCTGAGGTAGCTGACAGGGTGGAGGGGCTGGCGGGTCTTATAGGAGGGCCCGCTCGGCCCAACATCAGCAGCCGCGTTAGGGGTGCACTCCTGGGGTTGAGTCGTGACCGGTCTGTTGTCATCAAACCGGCGGACAAAAACCTTGGGATCGTGGTACTGGATAGGGACTGGTACGAGGGGGAGGCGCTGAGGCAGTTGGGGGACAGGGCAGTCTACGAGCCGGTTGCTGCGGTGCCGCTACGTTCCCTTTGGCAGCAGCTGTGTAGGTGGGCAGAGCAGGCGCGTTACGCAGGGGTTCCGCCACAGGTGCTGGACTACATCTTGCAGCCGCGTACTCCGCCGACGGGGGTGTCTGCCGGGGTCTGGGAGCAGTTTCGGGTGTGCAGATTTTACCTACTACCGAAACTGCACAAGACCCCGGTGGCTGGCAGACCCATCTGCTCGTCTACGCTTTGGGTCTTTGAGCACGCGTCGGCGGTTCTTGATCACCACCTCCGCCCCCTCCTACAGTTCTCACCCGCACACCTTCCTGACTCGCTCGCACTTCTTCACCAGCTTCAGGACCTCTCTGTGCCTGCTGACGCTCTCTTCCTCACTTACGACGTAGAGAGCCTCTACCCGTCGATTCCTATCGACGCAGGTATCAGCTGCATAGAGAGGTGGTTGTTTCGGCTGGTAGGGTTGGGTAGGGTGGCGGTGCGGGTAGCAGACGCGTTGGTGCAGCTGTTGGGGTTAGTCATGAGACAGAACCACCTCGAGTTTGGTGGTCGCTTCTGGCGACAGGTTCGGGGTACTGCCATGGGCACGCCTGTGGCGGTGATCTACGCGGTTCTGTTCATGGCTTGGTTAGACGAGAGGCTGTTAGAGACCGAGCCAGAGTTGTCGCAGTTCGTCCTTCTCCACCGCAGGTTTATAGACGACGGGGTGGTTATTTGGACGGGTACACGTGAGCGGCTCCTGGACTGGGTGCGGGCTTTCGGTGGGTTGGAGCAGACTATTCGGTTGACCCACGAGATCTCGACCTCACACGTTACCTTGCTGGACATTACGTTCAGCAAGGGGGAGCTTTGGCAGAGGACGGCTGTTCTGGACACTAGTACTTTCCAGAAGCCGCTTAACGTGTACCAGTACTTTCCTTTCTCCTCCGCGCACCCCTCTCACTGCAAGAGGGGCTTTATTTTGGGAGAGTTGCAGCGGTACATCCTGCGGGAGTCCAGCTTTAGGGGTTACTTGGGCATCAGGGCAGCCTTTTACTGTCGGCTTCGGGCCAGAGGCTACCCTGATGCCTTCTTGCAGCCGATATTCAGCAGCATCTCCTACGCACGACGCCCGGAGCTGCTAGCCAGGTCACGGGCTCGGGTGGAGCGGGAGCAGGAGGAGCAGCGGGTTCTCCCTCTCGTTCTCGACTTTCACCCTAGTGTGCAGCAGGTTCGCTGGGGCGCGCTGCTGGAGTTTCCCACAGGTGCACCGGCTTTCGAGCAGCTGTCTCACTACAGGGCACCCTTCGTGTCCTACAGGGCACCGCCGTCACTGCGTCGCGTTCTGGTTCGAGCGGCGTTCAGGTGACTGTGTCGCGTGTCGCCTTCAGCCGTCACCCTAGAGTTCAGCACCGGTCTTTCGTTGGTAGTGGCTCCAGGGTTGGTCCTCTGCCGTCTCCCCGCCCTTCCTCCTTGATTCGCTACACAGGTTGGGCCCTGGAGGCAGCACTCTCTTTCACTGGCTGCAGTGTGTTCCTTTGAGTTGGGCCTTTGCAGCAGCACCGTCCCCCGTCCGGTCTCTTTGTTTGCGCTACACAGACCGGGCCTTGGGACGCACACCAGCCCCCCGCCTGGCCTCCTTGATTCCTTTTACACAGGCCAGGCCCTGGGGCGGTGCGAGCGCCCCCGGCTGCTCTTTCCTTATTCTTGGGGGTTTAGCACTGGGATATGCACTTGCACACTTGTACCACTCCCCATCCCAGACCTTTATGAGTACTTGGGATGCCTACCTCTTCTTTGCACGGGGTCTTGGGGTTTGGATCCATGCGCATCTTGTATATTCCCCGCTCCTGGCCATATGAGCACAGGAGCGCCTTCCTCCTCTTGCATATCATTGGGGGGGGTTTGCATTTAGGGGCCTTGATGCACGTGGCACTTGTACTCGACACGCCCCCGACCTTTATGAGTTCGAGGGGGCACTGCACATAGTGGGCAGTCAGACCTCGAGCGGGTTCTTGGGGCCCTGAGGTCGGGTACTAGTCGGGCTCTGTTCCGTGATGACTTCATCACGTAGGGCTGTTGAAGAGCTCTCCGACGAGCCTTCACACGTCCCGAACGGAGCACCGAGCGCATAGTTATGCGCATTTTTCTGTTTCTGCTACTCGGATTCGTGCGAATCCGTGAAGCGACATAGTAGCTACCGGGGCTATTCTAGAAAGCTCCGGTTTTCGCCGCCCGGCCATGGCTGATGGGTTCCATATCATATATGGGACCATAAGCCCCGTAGGGGCTGGAGGCCATCCGCGCCGTCGGATTTGCCATCCGGTGCCCGGATTGGGAGATATGGGCGCCTAGGATGATGGTCCCTGACAGGGTGCCACTTGGCACCTTGCAGGGCTAGTTTTGAGCCTAGGTGGCGCTTGCCCCACAAGGCATTCTGTGACATTGGGTAGGGATTGCTCGAGTAGGGAACTCTTGCTAGGGTAGGAAATGTCTTGCTGATGATGCCTTCACGGGCGAAATCGATACGAGACGGCTTCTACCTTCACTTGAGGTACTTACTCTCTTGCATTTCCCTACACACTAGGCTCCAGACTTGTGTTTTTTTTCTTGCTTTCCTAGCTTCTCACTTTGCCTAGGACTTGCACAGTTTGTGGCCGTTGGAGAGCCTCGTGTTGCTCTCTAACGGCGGTAGTGTTGCGTAGGTTAGCGCCGACGAGTAGAGTAGCTCAGAGGCTCGTGCATTGGCCTTCTCCCAGGCTAGGTCGTAGTCTCTCGCTCTACGTTCGGCAGGGTTCGCCTCGCTTTAGTCACCCTTTTCGCTAGCGACTCTGGAGTCCGGAGCAGCACTGCAGCTCAGTTCTTTGAGCCCTTCTTTTCAAACCCTAAACCCTAAACCCTAAACCCTAAACCCTAAACCCTAAACCCTAAACCCTAAACCCTAAACCCTAAACCCTAAACCCTAAACCCTAAACCCTAAACCCTAAACCCTAAACCCTAAACCCTAAACCCTAAACCCTAAACCCTAAACCCTAAACCCCTAAACCCTAAACCCTAAACCCTAAACCCTAAACCCTAAACCCTAAACCCTAAACCCTAAACCCTAAACCCTAAACCCTAAACCCTAAAACCCTAAACCCTAAACCCCTAAACCCTAAACCCTAAACCCTAAACCCTAAACCCTAAACCCTAAACCCTAAACCCTAAACCCTAAACCCTAAACCCTAAACCCTAAACCCTAAACCCTAAACCCTAAACCCTAAACCCTAAACCCTAAACCCTAAACCCTAAACCCCTAAACCCTAAACCCTAAACCCTAAACCCTAAACCCTAAACCCTAAACCCTAAACCCTAAACCCTAAACCCTAAACCCTAAACCCTAAACCCTAAACCCTAAACCCTAAACCCTAAACCCTAAACCCTAAACCCTAAACCCTCAGTGAAGTCGTCGACAAGCACAAAGAAGTAGCGCTCTCGACGCGGCCCAGGGACGGGGGCGGGGCCCCAGACGTCCAGGTGCAGGGTCTACAGCGGCGCGGCGGTAGGGGGAAACGAGGAGGAGTGAGGGGCACGGCGAAGCCGACCCTCGACACAAGGCGTGCAAGGTGGGGCTGGGGAGGAGGGAAACACGGGGAGGGAACCTGGGAGACCAAGGACGAGACGGTGCTGGGACATGTGACGCAGACGCGGGAGTGCAGGGTGACCTAGGCGGTGGTGCCAAAGGAGGGTCGACAGGAGCAGGCAGCAGCAACCTGGGTGAGCGCTCCAGCCGGGGGGGTCACGGTGTCCACAGTGAACAGGCCGGACACAGGGTCCCGGGGGAACGTGGACAGGGGGGCACCAGTGGCGGCCTCGGTACAGATAGCATACCGCTCGTGACCAGGGAACGTAGTGGTGACGCCAAGGTCCTGGAGGCAGCCGACACCAACTAGGTTCCTGGAGAACGAGGGGATATACAGACCTGTGAGAGTACCCGAAGGAACCGCCGGACAGGGAAGGGTGGTGGAACTGCGGGCGACTACCGGACCGCCGGAGGGGTCAGCAAGAGAAACGGCAGCTGGAACAGGAAGCGGCGTCAGGGTGGTGGAGTCGCGGAAGAAACACCGAGAAGCGCCAGAGTCCAAGGTGAAGGAAAGCGAAGCAGAGGCGTCTGGCGACGGAACGACGGCGGAAGCACCAAGAATACACAAAGCAGGGGATCCTACGCCTGACGCAGCAGGGGAGGCTAAGCTAGGCATACCTACACTAGGCAACAGTGGGTAATAGGCGGGAAGCACACTAGAGTCATCAGCATACATCACATGCAGAGCAGAAACAATGGCATCCATGTCCATATCAAAAATCTGAATCTTACGACTAAGCAAACTGTGCCAGTCCGGGAGGTCTGGCGACGGGCCGAAGCGCTGACGAAAGAGGTCGTCCAGGCAACGAAAACAGCGGGGAGTGGAGTGACCGATCTTACCGCAGACGAAGCCGCGGCGAGGACCGGTCTGGATCTGGTACTGGCAACGCCCGCCGCCAGAGCCACCACGCGGCACACCACCACGCGCCCGTCCACCGCCTGCGCTGGGCCACCCGGGCGGGAGGACACTCGTCTGCCGCGCCTGCGACGGCTGCTGCGACTGCTGCGAAGGCTGCGACTGCGGCGGCGGCTGCGACTTCGGCGGCTGCTGCGGCTGCTGCAACTGCAGGGGCGGCGGCTGAGCTGGACTGGGCAGGGTCCCCTCGTCCGCTCCAGCACCAGACGACCCGACACCACCACTACCCCCTCCCGCACCCCCGCCGCCGCCGCCGCCGCGCCCAGCCTTGGGGCGGCGGCCCTTCCCCGAACGAACCTGCGCTGCAGCAGCAGTCTCAGCCACTGCGGCAGAGCCGTCGGAGAAGGTACACTGGGCGGGGGCACAACCCTGAAAGATAGGGACCGGCACGACACCGCTCGCCTGGGCGATGGAGCGGTGACGGGTCTCTATCACAGTCAGGGTGTCTACAAAGTCAGTGAGGGTGAGGTCTGCGGGGTGAATTCTAAGGAAGCGGTCGCGGGCGACAGCAAGGCGGTCAGGGAGGCGGGTGGCAAGCAGGTAGAGGGTAGAGGTAATGGGCGGCTGGTGGGCTCTAAGCTGTGCATCAGTGCAGGCTGCGCGCCAGGTCTCATCTATCGAGCGCAGGTGGGCAGCGAGGTTAGAGACAGTGGGGAAAGATGCAAGGTCAGGAAAGAGCATCGGGAGGATCAGGCGACCCACCGAGGGAGCCGGAGGGGTGGAATAGCGCTGCATGACAGCATCTAAGTATGCCTGAGCAGTAGTGATAGATCTAAAGCGAGGGCGCTCGGACGGGGGAAGGGCGTTGCTAATGGCAAGCTGGGCGACAGCATCGCGAGAAAGCCAGACAGTGCGCGCACGGGCAGTGGCAGCAGTGGACTCGCGCTCAGTGGGTGTGGAGTCAGCGGGCAGAATAGCAGGGGGGTCTGGGCAGGGGAGCATACCGTCAAGGTGTGCGGAAAGCGGTTCACCATCCTGCCGCTGGCCAGTGAGTTGGCGACGGAGGTCGGCAAGCCACGCCTCGAACTCCAGGGGCTGGCCTTCAGCGTCGAAGCGAAGCTCCGCCGCCATCAGGAACAGTGCAGTAAGGTGGAGTGCGGTGCCGTGCGGTACAGTGCGGCGCAGTGCGGTGTAGGGTGGTGCAGTGCGGTGCCAGGCAGGACAGGGTGGTGCGGGGCAGTGCAGTGCGGGGCAGTACGGTGCAGGGCAGTGTAGGACAGTGCGGGGCAGGGCAGTGCAGGGCAGTGCGGGGGGGGGGGGAGGACCGTACCAGTGAGGAGGACCGGGGCCGGGGCAGGGACGAGAGCAGGGGCCGGGCCGGTGCAACGGGGCCGGGTGGGTGCGACGGGGCCGGGCGGGCGCGACGGGGCCGGGCTGGTGCGACGGGGCCGGGCTGGTGCGACGGGGCCGGGCGGGTGCGACGGGGCCGGGCGGGCGCGACGGGGCCGGGCTGGTACGACGGGGCCGGGCGGGTGCGTCGGGGCCGGGCTGGTGCGACGGGGCCGGGCCGGTGCGACGGGGCCGGGTGAGCAGGACGGTGGCCCAGGAGGGGCGCACCGGGGCTGGGCAGGCGCGACAGGGCCGGACGGGTGCGACGGGGCCGGGCGGCTGCGACGGGGCCGGGCAGGGGGCGACGGGGCCGGGCGGGTGCGACGGGGCCGGGCGGGCGTGACGGGGCGGGGCTGGTGCGACGGGGCCGGGCGGGGGCGACGGGGCCTGAAGGCGTGATGGGGCCCAGGAGGGGCTCGACGCAGCCCAGGAGGGGCGCTACGGGGCCTAGGAGGGGCGCGACGGGGCCCAGGAGGGGCGCTACGGAGCCCAGGAGGGGCGCGACGGGGCCCAGGAGGGGCGCTACGGAGCCCAGGAGGGGCGCGACGGGGCCTGGGAGGGGCGCGACGGGGCACAGGAGGGGCGCTACAGGGCCCAGGAAGGGCGCGACGGGGCCCAGGAGGGGCGCTACGGGGCCCAGGAGGGGCGCGACGGGGCCCAGGAGGGGCGCTACGGAGCCCAGGAGGGGCGCGACGGGGCCCAGGAGGGGCGCTACGGAGCCAAGGAGGGGCGCGACGGGGCCTGGGAGGGGCGCGACGGGGCCCAGGAGGGGCGTTACAGGGCCCAGGAAGGGCGCGACGGGGCCCAGGAGGGGCGCTACGGGGCCCAGGAGGGGCGCGACGGGGCCCAGGAGGGGCGCTACGGAGCCCAGGAGGGGCGCTACGGGGCCTGGGAGGGGCGCGACGGGGCCCAGGAGGGGCGCTACGGGGCCCAGGAAGGGGCGCGACGGGGCTAGGGGGGTCGCGACGGGGCTAGGGGCACGACGGGGCTAGGGGGGGGGGAGCGGAAGCGGTAGGTGGGGGGGGGATCCTACCTACTCGTGATACCATATCAGAATTGGAGAAGAGAATGATAGATAGAGTGAGAGTACACACAGATATACCTAAGTGTTGTACCCTCTAAGAGGCGACCCTATACAGTCTATACAAACATGACAAATACACATGTTTGACAATAGTCCAGCGAAATGTGCCAGAAGCTCGAATTCGAAGCTCCAGGAGTAAAAATCAACTCTGTTAAAAGGTATAGTGGTCTTTATTTGCGTGCTGCGTAAATTCGGTGGTTGAAAGATAATACCATGTTGTTGAGGCTGTTGCTGTTGTTGAAATTGCTGTGGATGTTGCTGTTGTTGCTGTGGTTGCTGATATTGCTGTTGATGCTGCTGTTGTCGTTGCTGAGCAGGTGAACGCCCGAAGATGTAAAAGGGTTGCTGCTGCTGCGACTGTGGCTGTTGCGCAAAAGGTGAGAAGGCAAATGAGCCAGAACTTGGAGCTGAAGCTCCACGCATATAACTTGAGCCGTCAAGACTCATTCCACTAAATGCTGACGATATTGACTGAGTTGAAAACTGTGGTTGTGCTGTTGCCTGTTGTTGTACTAATGCCTGTTGTTGTGCTGTTGTCTGTGTTAGTTGATGTTGCGCTGCAGGTGCAGTCGATGAAATCCCTGGAGTACTGACAGAAGGCGGATTCTGCTGCTGTTGCTGCATACCGATGTGCGCATGAGCCGGTCGAAATGGTCCAGAGGTTGAGAGACCAGTGGCGGTCGTGGAGACATGTACTCCAGTAGTTCCGAAACTTGATCCGGTAGATTGTGCTGGTGTTGTTCCAGTCATTGTTGACAGTAGTCTTAATTCCAGACAGCTCTCATACCATGTAATAATTTGACAAGTGTTGCAGGAGACTAAGTATAGAATCTGCAAACACGAACACTTGGAAAACCTCAAGTGTTAGCCTAGGATCTTTACTGGAATGGTAGACT